GTTTGCTCAGAGGCCATCTACCAGATCAGATAAAGTGAAAATGTGGCAGTAATGTTATTCACCTTGAAGCTTTTATCCCAACCTCCACACAGGATGTGGGAGAGAGACCCTGTTCAATTCCCCAGTCTGACTGATAGGGAGAAAAGATTTGAGCTAGGATCTTTCATTGCTTGCTTTAACCACTGAACTATGCGCTATTCTGAGGGCCTGTTCTTCATTTTTCACTTACTGAAGCTGTTCCACTCATTAGAATAGTGGGTCTGGACCTTAGGTTTCCCACTTAGCTGGTGGGAACCCAAGAAAGAACAATCTTTCTTGCTGGTTCTTTTTGGGGTGAAGACCCCTTAAGTATTCATATACAGTGAAACAGTCTTAGCAGAAGAAAAGAATCTCAGAATATCCTACAAGTTCTCTAACACTGGGCTAAATACTTTACATTGCGTGGCAGCACCTCCTCCTTCCGCTGTTTTGTGTGGCATGAGTCAAGCATCTAGCTATTTGCACAAGCAGTAGCTTAGGCACCTATGCTACCTGCCTCCAGGAGATGGGTTCCCACCAGTCCATTGCTGGCAGAGACAGGTACTTCTTTGCAGCCCAGATTTAGGTATGTAATTCTGTGAGTAAAAGACTCAGGATACACTCCTCCACTGAGCATTGCCTGTTGGCTAGCTTAAGTGGCTCTTTACCTAACATAGATCCCACTCTCCTATCTCTCCCTATTCCTTGTTTAGGAACCATAGCAATTGTGAATCCCTCCTTTCACAGAGTAAACCACCTAAGTCTTGGCTACAGGAAGAATGCCTGTCTCTGCCAGTGAGCCACAGCTGGGAACAGTTGCTAACAGTCAGACAATTTGGGTTCCAGTGATTTTCTGGTTGCCTAAAAGTTAGGAATTGTGATAGTGAGCATTATAAACTAAGTCCCTGTGGATCCAGAGCTAAGAGTTTGTTTTTACTACGTGGTGGATTGATGGTACAGCAATTAATCCACTGGCAGTCGATTTATCATGTTTGCTTAAATGTGATAAATTGACCTCTGAGTGCTCTCCCATTGACTCCAGTACCCTACCAGGATGAGATGAGTAGATGGAGTCAATGGGAGAACAGCCTCTGCTGACCTAAGTACATCAACTTCATCTACACTATTTGGCTGTGTCTAGACTGGCCAGTTTTTGATTTTCCGGAAAAACTTGCCAGCTGTCTTCACTGGCCGCTTGAATTTCCACAAAAGCACTGACTTGCTACTGTAAGAAATCAGTGCTTTTTGCAGAAATACTATGCTGCTCCTGTTCAGGCAAAAGTCCCTTTTGTGCAAAACTTTTGCGCAAAAGGGCCAGTGTAGACAGTTCAGATTTGTTTTCCACAAAAAGGCCCCGATCACGAAAATGGCGATCGGGGCTTTTTTGCTGAAAAGCGCGTCTAGATTGGCCACGGACGCTTTTCCGCAAAAAGTGCTTTTGCGGAAAAGCATCTGTGCCAATCTAGATGCTCTTTTCTGAAAATGCTTTTAACGGAAAACTTTTCCGTTAAAAGCATTTCCGGAAAATCATGCCAGTCTAGACGTAGCCTTTGTGTATTGGGTGTGGCGTAGAGAAGACCTAAGAGCCTTTTTTGGGACTTAGAGCCAAGACTATTGGTTGATGCTGTTCCTCGTGGAGGATAAGGTTACAGTGCTCTCTGCTGCTGGTTAATCTGCAGTTAGAGAATTTTTTGGTTTTGTTTTTTAAAGAAAGGGGAAGTAGTCATGATTCTGTCTCTTAAATGAACTGTGGTAGAATGTTACATTATAGAAGTTCCATGGCTGTTGGCTAGTTCACAGAAGAGAGGAGTGAGTGGGGATAAATAATGGAAAAGAGTTTAAAGAACCGAGTCAGAAAAAGAATCATGCCAAAAAAAAAAGTGATAAAAGGAGAAAAGGGCAAAAAATTGAGAAAGTGCCAAGAGGGAAGAGCTTTGTGGAGACTGTCAGAGAGAAGGGAATTAACAAATTCACTCTGTTTCTTTGTTTGAATATTGTGCTGTAGTTAAACTCACTGGACTGAATTCAGTTATACTTGAGTATTCGTTTCCATCATTGCCTTTCTGTAAGATAAATTTGGTCCCATGTATCTAAGATTATTTGGTGTTTTTTAAAATTTTACAGCACCCAAGGTGCACTAGTTGCTTTAAAAAACATGCAGTAGGTGGGATCTCTGCCTTACACTGTGATTTTACAAGGTTGTTTCATTTTTCCCAAACATTCTCCTCTCCTCTCCTTGGGAGCAACAGCACCCTCCATCATCCTTTCTGCAATCTGGGTATCATTGTACAAATCTGTATTCTTCTGTCATCATACTCAGGCCTTTGCCAAACCCTGTTGCTTTTTTCTTTACAATATCTAAAATGTATTTCTTTTGCTTTGGTCATGCTGCTCCTGTTCCAGCCCATGCTCTAGCTTAGTGGTTTTCAAACATCATGCAACATGATCCACTTCTGACAACAAAAAATACTACACAACCTCAGGAGGGGGGATCGAAGACTGAGTTCTGCTCCTTCCCCCCAAAGCTCAAGCCCTGCTGCTCTGGGTAGGGGGAGCCAAACCCAGAGCACTGTCCCCAAGGCTTCAGCTTTGCATGTTGGTAGAGGTGGCTGTGATCATGTTTCACCTTCAGCCTTGGAGGGCAGGGGTTGTGCCTCAGACCAGAGACCCAGCAAGTCTAACGCCAGCCTCAGCAACTCCATTAAAATGGGGTTGTAACCCACTTTGAGGTCCTGACCTATCATTTGAAAACTTCTACTCAGCAGTGAAAGTAACTTAAAATGTCTTACAGGTACTGTCCTATTGTAATCCGTGTCCCTGCCAGTTCTTTAAATAGCTCCCTGCTGGCTTTTGCGGCAGCTCAGCTAGCTCTTGCTGGAGCTGCACAGTAGGACCCGCTCACTACTTTCACTTCTGCCTCTGCTTGAAAGTTCTAGTCCACCCTCATTCTATTATTTCCAAAACTGTCAGTTTCTCCTTTTTTGGTTTCTGTCATTCTCATCGATCATTGATCTCCCTCATTGAATGTTGTCAAGATGATTACACTCATAGCAATGTATCTACACTCTCTTGTTCATAGCTCTGCTTCCATTGCACCATGTGGTGGAGCATGCAGGGTCCTACACAGGCTCCCCTCCCCAGCTGCTTCCAGCCACAAAGGAGTGGGGGAAGGAATGACCTGGGCTACGTCTTTGCAGAGCTCATCTCTCTCCAGCTTTGTGGCTGGATGCAGCTGGTCCCTTACCAGCCTGCACAGCACTGAAAGGCAGCTGACACCTCGAGGCTGCTACTGGCCCATTAACATAACCTTGTCACCTCCTGTCCCCTATCTACAGCATAGGCAGGAAAGGGTTAAGCCCGATGGATGTATTGTACACCAGGACCCAGGGAATCTGACTGCTAGGGCCTCAGTGAACCCAGCCACAGAGGTGGCTCTGAAGGAAAGGGTACCTAGGGACAGAGCAGCCCCATGCTCCCTGGGTCAAGACTCAGGCTACAGCTAGACAAAAATGAGGCACTTTGAAAGTGCAAACAAAACCGGGATTTGAATTTCCCATGCTTCATTTGCATAATCATGTCATGGCGCTTTTTCAAAAAAGTGCTTTTTCGAAAGTGCAACTGTAGTCTAGACGTGGTTCTTTCGAAAATGGCAGGCTTTTTCGAAAGAACCTGTAAACCTCAAAAATCTTTTGAAAAAGCCTGCCATTTTTGAAAGAACCGTGTCTAGACCGTGGATTTACTTTAGAAAAAGCACTTTTTCAAAAAAGCGCCATGATGCAATTATGCAAATGAAGCATGGGAAATTCAAATCCTGGCTTCATTTGCACTTTCCAAGTGCCTCATTTACATCCCTCTGTCGACAGAGGGATGTAGTCTAAATGTAGCCACAGTATGTTGCAGGGCAAGGGAAAGAAGGTGCTAAGATGCTGCCCAGGGGATTGCTGTAAGTTAAGGGTGTGAACAGGCTGGAAATCGTCCTTCCCACCCCCACCACTCCAGAACTTAGCTGGGGGCAGATAGGCTTTCCCATGCCAGCTCTGTGTGGGCTTCGGTACATACAGGGCTCATCTTCTGGCTAGCGTTCCATGCCAGGGGTGGGGATGAGGGGGGTTGGGCTTTCCCAGGGTGCCAGCCCAGCCAGAGGCAGTGGGGGAGGGGAGGAGGAAAGAGCCTGCCTACCACGCTGTTGGTGAGCTGAGCACTCTGACCAGGGACTGGTTTGCCATATAGTGAGAGGATGTTGGTGAGAGGATGAGGAGTAGCGGGGTTGGCGTGAAGAGGCAAAGCAGGAAAGGACAGCAAGAGGGGAGCCTGTTAAGGGCCAATGGGTGGGTGGCAGAGGTGACCCATAACTAGCTGGTGTCTGCCTGCACTCACCAGCCACCACAGCAAGCACATAGCTAGAAATGTGACCGGGGTGGAGGGGAGAGAGCGGGAGGCCTGGTTCTGTTGGCCAAGAGACGGCATGCAGCAGAGGCTGTGCTAGCAGGCCAGCAGGGGGAGTGGAAGGCACCTCACGTTGCAGCTTGACCCGTCACCAATCTTTTACATCCAGCCCCATCATTGGCCCCTGCACACTGCCCCTACTCACGGCTGATGGGCAGGTTGCTGGCAAGCAGGGATCCAGTCAACAGCAGGATCCACCATTACTGATAGAGGGAGACAGAAAATATGGGACAATTTGCCCATTTTAGAAAGTCAGAACATCTACAAGAGGCTTAAATATGAGACTGTCCCTTTAAAAATGGAACATCTGGTTACCCTACATAGTGTCATCAGATCCTACCTTAAGCAAGCTGTTTTATTATGGTAGCAGCTAGAAGCCCTAACATTGATATGCTTGATGATGTACAAACATGTAAAAAGATGGTTCCTGCTCTAAAGAATTTCAGTGCAAGAGCTTGCTTATTTCTGCCAACTTAGACTCAGTCCTTGTTTGGATTAATTACTCCAGCTACCAGGATACTTAAAAAAGCAGATGGAATAGCATATAAATACAAAGGTAAGGGAAGCACACCAGTTGCTCATTCCATCTATTTCAACTGAGAGGGAATTCTCTATGGCCACAAATGATTCTGAGTTATTTTGTGAAATTGTTTATCCATAGTTATTTACGTCTGAATTATTTATTTGAAGAGTTGCAAAGATAGGCTAAAGAACATTCTGTATTTATGCCATCTGTAACTGGTACAATATGTTTTTAGAGGACAAAATGTGGGATCCATATGAAACTACAACAAAACACGAATACCCATATAGACCACAAGTAGAGACTAAAGCATTACGGTAAGGCAATATTGGCTAATTTAATGCTAACACTTCTATTGATTTTGTTTTTGTGATGTACTGAAATCTATGTTCATGTCCAGATCTATAACAGTTAAGTTACAGGGGGCACTTGATAGAAAACAAAACCCAACAGATTTAATCTACTCTGCATTGATTAGGCCTCAGTTGTAGCAATGTGTAAAGTTCAGGGTACCACATTTCAGGAAAGATATGGACACATTGGAGAGGGTACAGAGAAGAACAAGAAAGATTAAAAGTCTAGAAAACATGAGCTATGAGGGACGAGTGGAAAAAAGAAGACTGAGAGGGGACATGTAGCAGCTTTCAAGTACCTAAGAAGGCATTACAAGGAGGAGGGAGAAAAATTATTCTCCTTAACGTATGATGATAGGACAAGAAGCAACGGGCTTAAATTGCAGCAAGGGAGGTTTAGATTGGCCATTAGGAAAAACATCTTGTCAGGGTGGTTGTGGAATCTCCATCACTGGAGATAAGAGCAGGTTGGACAGACATCTATCTGAGGCTATGTCTAGACTATGGAGTTCTTCCGGGATACCAGAGGTATCCCAGAAAAACTCTGCCACGTCCAACATTTTTTGCAGAAGAGCAGATGCACTCCTTCAGAAGCCCTGTGTTCCTCGTTTCACGAGGAAGAAGAGTTCTTCTGAAAGAGTAGGTTTTTCCAAAATTTGGCCCAGTGTTGACGAGTCAAATTTTGGAAAAGCCTCTCCTGAAAAAACAATCGGAAAAAGGTATGCAAATTACAGAGTGCAATTTGTGTACCTTTTAAAAAAAGAAAGCGTCAGTCTAGACATAGCCAGAGATGATCTTGGTGCCTTGTCCTGCCATGAGGGCAGGGGAATGGACTTGGTAACTTCTCAAGGTCCCTCCCAGTTCTAGTATTCTATGATAGTATGTGACTTTATCCCGCTGTCTGCAATTCTTATAATAGGAAATACATTTACCACAGTATCTGCAATATTACTGACTTTGTTTCCCTATTTCCAACTGCAACTTTTAATGCATTTCTTACAGTCCCAGAACAGCTAAAGGATATGTGAATCCATACCAACTTAGTGATCCTATTGGCTATAATACTTACAGAGAAGAGTTCTGTTGGAAACCATATTCCAAGGCAGAACCTATAAGGACTGGCTCTTCAACAGGAACACGGAGAAACAATCCTCATCCCAGTCAAGTAAGGAATGCTAGAGCATTCTCCCTCATTTATGTTGCCAAGGGAAGGTACTGTGGTAGGGCTTAATATTTTGTTTATGATACAATGTTTATGGTACAGTAGTTTTGAAGTATGCCGGTGAATTGGGTGCCAGTAGAAGCACTTGGCATCAAGAAATTTTGAAGAAGCAAGTATTACTCTGACTGTGAGATTAGGTAGTTGAAGAAAACAACATTGTTTACTAATATGTTTACAGTGTAAAATAACAATGTCAGGTCTTTTCTATAAGTATTATCTTGGGCAAATATAATTTGGGAGGTTGAGTCGTTCTTTTTAAATGATGCACAAATTCTCCCATTCTAGAATGCACAATCTCTGTTCTGTTTTGGGTGACACCTGCTCCATAGCTGACTTTATTATCATTTCCATTAAGCAAACCCTGTTGTGTAATTCCAAATGAAATTTATAGGTAGCAGATTTAAAACAAAGAAAATGAAGCTGTTCTTCACACAGTGCATGGTCGGCCTGTGGAACTCTTTGCCAGAGGAGGTTATGAAGACCAGGACTTTAAAAGGCTTCAAGAAGGAACTAGATAAATTCATGGAGGTTAGGTTCATCCATGGGTATTAGCCAGGATGAGTAGGAATGGTAACCTCTGCCAGAGGCTGGGAATGGGTGATAGGAGAGGGATTGCTTAAGATTCCCTGTTGTGTTCACTCCTTCTGGGGCATCTAGCATTGGCCACTGTTGGCAGACGGGATACTAGGCTAGATGGACATTTGGTCTGACTCAGTATGGCTGCTCTTATGGTCTTATGTTCTATGTTCTTATCACCATCTTCTGTAGAAGGTCTCAATTTCTTCATGTATGACCAGAATATTTAGCTCTTAGCACTTACATCTTTCCATCATTTCAATCCTTTTTCTCAGATTATTTCCACGATAGTTTGAAAAGAAAAATAGACTCATATTTAAATATGCCCATCTTAAAGGATCCCAAAGCATTTTTAGATCTTAAGTGTGCATGCATGCACGCACATGCACATGCACATACACACACACACACACATTACAAAGATAGCTTCCCCAATTATCACCTCTAATATTATTATCTCATCGACATTAACCTCCCCCCCTTATCCTCCTTCTGTTCTAAAATCTGATTTATCTATTTTATATGTGTTCAGTTTTTTTGATTGTATCCCTTTGGTATATATGGTCATGCCAATTTTCTTCCACAATTTGATCTGAGGAAGTGGGTCTGGCCCACGAAAGCTCATCACCTAATAAACCATCTTGTTAGTCTTTAAAGTGCTGCATAGTCCTGTCTCTTTTTTCAGCAAGATCAGACTAACATGGCTACATCTCTATTACTACACTAATTACCTTATCCATCTGTTTCAGAGCAGAAGCCATGTTAGTCCGTATCTTTAAAAACAACTTTTAAAAAATCAAGTAGTTCTGTGGCACATTAGCAATGAACAAAACATATGTATAGTATCATGAGCTTTGGTGGGCAAAACCCACTTCTTCAGATGACCCAAGTATGAGTCCAGATCCAAGGATAAATAAGGGAAGGGGAGGGGGGAGGGAGAAAAAAGGGAGAAAAGGAAGAAAAAGAGAGACAGTGAGTAGATAAAACTTTAAAAACAACAATTAGTCTAGCAGCGTGTCAAAGATCTGTGATACACAGCAATGTACAATACTATGATCTAATGTTTATGACAGGGTAAATAAACATTGTATCCAACTGATGAGTATTTAACAAGCAGAATGTAATTACTAGCCAGATTGGAATTTGTCCTGAGATTAATATATCTACTTTTGTGTTAAGATCCTGGAGCTCTTTTTCTCTATTTTCAGCTTGTTTACTTTGGCATTTGATAGCATTTTGGATCAGGTCCTTAGCTTATAGTCAATTTCACAGTTTCCTCCTTTTTGTTAGTTTCCTCTGCGTTTTATGTCTCTCTCATAGCAAATGGAGAGAGAGAAGCATTCTAAAAATAAGAAAATATTATTATGAAACTAGAAAAATTGGTTAGCAGTTTGGGGAGGAGAAGTACCTAAAACTGTAAAATCTCTTTTGTTTTGTAATTGGCTGACTAGGTTTTCAGGTTAATCTGTCCTTTTTCAAAACTGGCAACATATAACTTTTATTTACTACAAATATTACCTGAAACTTCTCATTTGGTATAATTATTGTGGGTACAAAAGAGGAAGGCTGGTCCAATGACTGGGGCACTGATCTAGGACATGGTTCAATTTCCTGCTCTGCTATAGACTTCCTGTTTAACCATGGTCAAATCACTTAGCTGCTTGGTACCTCAGTTTCTCATCTATAGAATGGGGATAACCCTAATAGAGGTAATTGGAGGAGAAATAGATTAAAGATTATGAAGCATTTTAAGACTTACTGATGAAAAGTGCTATATAAGAAATAGGCATTATCATCAAACAGGACTATGTAGCACTTTAAACACTAACAAGATGGTTTATTAGGTGATGAGCTTTCATGGGCCAGACCCACTTCCTCAGATCAAATCGTGGAAGAAAATTGGCACAACCATATATACCAAAGGATACAATAAAAAAAAAAAGAACACGTATGAAAAGGACAAATCAAATTTCAGAACAGAAAGGGGATGGGGGGGGGGAGGTAAATGTCTGTGAGCTAATGATATTAGAGGTGATAATTGAGGAAGCTATCTTTGTAATGGATAAGATAATTAATGTCTTTATTTAGACCGAGGCATAAAGTGTCTAATTTAGGCATGAATGATAGTTCAGAGGATTCTCTTTCAAGTCTGGTGTGAAAAGGTCTTTGAAGCAGGATGCAGGTAATCAAGTCGTTGATTCAATGCCCTTTGTGGTTGAAATATCAAGAAACTGGTTTTTTTTTGTGATCCTGTCTAATATCTGTTTTGTGGGCATAGAATCAATGCTCACAAAACAGATATTAGACAGGATCACAAAAAAAAACCAGTTTCTTGATATTTCAACCACAAAGGGCATTGAATCAACGACTTGATTACCTGCATCCTGCTTCAAAGACCTTTTCACACCAGACTTGAAAGAGAATCCTCTGAACTATCATTCATGCCTAAATTAGACACTTTATGCCTCGGTCTAAATAAAGACATTAATTATCTTATCCATTACAAAGATAGCTTCCTCAATTATCACCTCTAATATCATTAGCTCACAGACATTTACCTCCCCCCTTCCATCCCCCTTCTGTTCTGAAATTTGATTTGTCCTTTTCATATGTATTCATTTTTTTTATTGTATCCTTTGGTACATATGGTTGTGCCAATTTTCTTCCACTATTTGATCTGAGAAAGTGGATCTGGCCCACGAAAGCTCATCACCTAATAAACCATCTTGTTAGTCTTTAAAGTGCTACATAGTCCTGTTTTTTGTTTCAGCTACACCAGACTAACACAGCTACATTTCTAGCATTATCATCAGTGAGCTTTAAATTACGTCTTATTCTGTGGGAGGTGGCTGAATACTATGTAATTTGCTGTAAATGTAATACTCTAATTGTAGACATGCAGATCGACTAAATCCCCCTTTTTATGTTATTAGAGTTTCATGGTTTGGAAGGTGCCTCGAGAAGAAAAACCACCATCCTCCAACAGCATTTCACCCTGGACACAGCCTATTTCTAAACAAGAGGTTGGGGAAGCAATCAGAGCACAGTTCAGTTCTACATACAGTGAAGATTATTTAGGATTACCACAGGGTGAGGGCAATGATTTCTCTCTCTTTTTTTAACGTGGCCCATTAAGACACTCTGTGGCATAGTGCCATGATAATGTCAAGGACAGAGCAAAGGCACATTGTCACAGCAGGGACTCCTGGAGACATTGTGGCTCAGGCAGACACAGGCCACATCTCCACTTGCTGTGCCAGAAATCAATCTTCAGGCATTTGATTTAGTAGGTCTAGTAAAGACCCACTAAATAGAATGTTGAAGGTGGTCCCTGTCAGCGCTGGTATTCTCACAGTCACAAGGAGTAAAGGGAGCCAACAGGAGTGTTTGCTCCCATTGACCTCTCTCCGTGAAGATGGCACAAAGCTTATCTTAAGGTATGTCGATTCCAGCTACATTATTTACGTAGCTGGAGTTGCATACCTTAAGCCAACCTTCCAGGTCTAGTGTAGACCCGGCCAAAATCTCTCTGGAAGCCTAAAGGGACTGTGGGCCACAGGGTGCAGCATATATGCTCATCCCATTTCAGCCAAACTGAGCTGGGGAGAGAGAGATAGTAAGGTCATGACCATACCTTGAATACAACCAACCTCTTTCTTCTCATCTCCTCTATTCGTCCTTGCCTATTCACATGCTTCTGAGGTTTTTTTATTGGAGATGATGGTCCCTCTAAGCCTCCCTGTATCCCAGGAGGTTATGGCTAAAAGAACAAGGACATCTCCACTTTATCAAAGGCAACTAACTGAAGCTTCATCCCCTGTTCCACTGCTCAGTATTTCCTCATTGCCCCCTTGATAATCTCTCTTTCTTTTGGGATCCACTGAAATAAATGGAAAGGCTTCCACTGACGTTAATTGATTTTGGGTCAGGTCCTAATACACCTTAGAAGCAAAGCACCTGTTGATTCAAAAATGTTGTACCTGTCTGTTGTAATCTTATCTCACCCTTACCATACCCAGCCTTGCAACTCTTATATAGTGAGGTGCCAATATGGCTGATTATTAGAGCAGGTCAAAAGATCGGGGGAGGGGTTCCTGTGGAAAATTTCAGCCAAAAGTAGGAGCCACAGGCTGCAACTCCCCTCAGCATTGCCTGCCTGCCAGCCTGCACAGCCCCCCTCACCAATCCATCCCCAGGCTGGATCCAGGGAACATCGCCAGGGCCAGCCTGCACGGTCTCCCCTTCCCTGCCCCCAGGCCAGGCCTGAAGAGTGCAGGTGGGAGGTCTACATACCCCTCCTCCCTGCCCCTAGGCCAGACCCAGGCAATGCTGGGTACATCTTCTAGTCTTATAAATATTTTAGAAAGTTTGTTTGTTTGTTTGTTTGTCCCGAAAAATCTCTGAAATGGTAAGAGCTAGAAACATAAAATTTTTGAATGGATACTACTGATTTCCTAACTTAAATAACTGGATTGGTTATATCTCGAAATCGGTTCCCACAGAGCCCCAGTTGGGCCCACTGATAATTAGCTTTTAGTAGCGCCTGATCATAGGCAGGGTTCGACAAACAATGTAATCTACTTGCCTGTGGCGAGTAGATAACACCCCGGAAGAGCCGGCGCAGAGATTTCTGCTAGTTGGATAATAAAAATGACACTATTTTCTAACTTCTTTAGGTTTACAAATTAAAGACACTACTCCTGTGCCTCCTGACTGGAAAAAATTAATCCCACACCCTCCAGCAACTGAATTTAGGCATCATTACCAGGCCCCAGCACACAACCGTGACTTCATGGACTTTTCCTGGAAATATGGATGTAATGCAAATCGGCATATTCCAGCAAAAGGAGTTGGTAAGAATATATTTATTTTTAAAGCCTTAAATAAGTAAAACTTTGGAAATGATGAAAATCAGGACTTCAGTTCTTTACATTGCATTCCTTTGTGGAATCAGATTCTTTTGAAGTCCTGCCAACTATTAAATTAGTTCTTCAGTAGTCTCTGGTCACTTCTGCTTATGTAATTGATTAGTGATGTTTGAAGATTTCCTGTGACAGGAGAAAATGAGCCTTTTTCTTCCTAAGAGTCCAGCATGAGTTTTGTACCATGCAATAATTTTACACATTAAGTCTGCAAATGTGGTTTGCACTTTCTTATCTCTGCTCCTGCTGACTGAAATCAAAGGGAGCTGAGTGTTCTTGCAAATCCCACTGCAAGAACATAACTCAATATGTGACATGTACCAACATCTCAGGTTGGGAGAACCTGGGCTGCTGACCCTTTGCACTAGAAAGTTTGCTGGAGTGGGGGCACAGTGGTGCAATCTCTCATCTATCAGGGGGAGGGAGGGATAGTTCAGAGCTCACTAGTACCACCCACAGATTGGTCAAAGCATATGCGCCAACTTCCCCTCTAGCTGCGGGTTGCTCAATCCCCTCCTATACTCCGATTCCATCCTTTCCCCACAAGCTCTGCCTCTGCTCCTTCCTGTCTCCATTCCACCCAATGCCCCAGGGCCCTGACTCTTTCTGGCCTCCTCCCCCAAGCATGCCCTCTCCCTATTCCTCCCCTTCTCTCCCAGAGCTTCCTGAATGCTCTGAATCAGCTGTTTGCAGCACTCCAGAAACTCTGAGAGGGTGGCGGGGGGAGGTCAAGATTTGGTCAGGAGGGCCACCAGCCCTGAGAAGTGTAGGAGGGGAGAGCTTGGTTGCTGGTGTATATACGCATGCTCAACACCCACTAATTTTTCCCTGTGGGGTGCTCCAGTCCTAGAGCACCCATAGAGTCAGTGCCTATGAGTCAGGGCCAGCCCATTAGGAAATACACTTCAGGAAGCCTTTGCCACCCCTTGGAAATGCTGTTCATCGAAGTGTTGATTTTTCAACAAGGCAATGAGAAAGCTGGGAGATGTTGTTGTTTAAAAAAGACATAGAGCTAAGTGCCTGTCTAGATACTTATATGATTTTATCACTATATCTGGGGCTACATCTAGACTACAGGCTTCTTTCGGAAGAAGCTTTTTTTGGAAGAGATCTTCTGGAAAAACTTCTTCCTAAAGAGAGTGTCCATACTGCAAAAGTGCATCAAAAAAGCGATCTGCTTTTTCGAAAGATAGCGTCCACACTGAATGTAGGCTGTGATTGCTCAAGGCGGAATGGCCAACAGGGCACCTGAGCTATTTCGCAAAAAGGCTTCTTCCTCATAGAATGAGGATTACCAATGCCGGAAAAACCCCTCTGTTCTTTCAATTTTCTTGCAGATGAATGCAATTGCAGTGTGGACATTCCTCAAGTTTTGTCAGAAAAATGGCTGTTTTTCTGACAAAACTCTGTAGTGCAGACATACCGTGGGTATCTTTCATTCATTAATGGATTTTATCTTCACAACACTCCTGTTAAGTAGGGAAGCTATCCCCCCATTTTGCAGATGGGAAATGAAGGTTCAGACAGAGTTGATTAAGTGATTTGCACAAAGTTACACAAAAAGTCTGTAACTGAGGTAGGAACTGACTTTAGATCTCTTGAGAGTCCCAGTCCATGCCTTAGCCATCCTTCCTACTATAGGTGCCATCTGTGTATTGCTGACATTTCATCTCATTGGCTTCATATTGGTGCTGAATTAATATGAGGGGAGGCTGAGGGAACCACACAGACTGAGGGATCTAGGTAGGGAGATCCCATAATGACTGTTTTGCATTGGTCTAAAGATATGTACCTGAGCCAGTTTAAGGCATTTCAGTTCCCTCTTTCAGCTTCCTGGAGGTGGCACAGGAATATTTGTTGATCATTGGTATGAAATACTGCAGAGAAATCCAGAAGGATGAGTATGTCTTAGTATGCCAAGATGAAGCCTGACTGATAGGAATTTCAAAATATTGGTAGCTAAAACTGGTTATAGATTAGATTCCAAACAAATACTACCCCAAGTTAACTACACAAAGTTTTATTATTACTAGCATTACCCATCCTGCTGTAACAGTAGAGGTACACTCAGGTTGGCCTGGCATGGGGGGCAAAAGCAGACCTGGCCACCATCTTGCCCATGAAGGACCCACTGCTGCCATAACCATGTCCCTGCTGCTCTACCCCCACCTTATGCCACCTGCATGCAGCATGCACTCAGACCTGCCGGAGAGCGCCATGGGGCCACTGGAGTCTGTCATTCAGGTGCTGGCGGGCTGGATCCTGGCCAGCCTGCCCGGATCTACCGACTGGACTCACTGCACTCCTGGCAAGGTGTGGCCTCCATTCCACACTCAGCCCATGGGCTGCTAACTTAGCCGAACCAGTCTGAATGGGGAGGAGGGAGAATTTCAGTGTCAGAGCGGGGGAGAGGGAGGCATTTTGAGACCAGGTTTGCAAGCATGGGGCAGTACCAAGGGGCTGACTCAGGTATTTAATGGGCTGCTGAGGGTGGAGGCCGAGGGGGGGGGCAGGCTCACATGGGGGGGACAGCTGGATTCTGGCAGCTGTTTGGGGGAAGGAGCCTCTCGGACCCCACTTTGGTACAAGTCTCCCCCAAACCCACTGGCTGCGTGGCAGAGCAGCCCTGTCTGGGTCCTGGCACACTCAGGGTGGGTGCGACAGGCTGGGCCATGACACAGGAGTGGCATGCGGGACACACTGCCAGGAAGAGGCACACACCATTACTTGTTGGTCTCCAGCGACTCAGTGGGAAAGTGAAAGACACACATTTCACTTTCCTATCTCTCTCCCTCCCCTCACCCACCCACCCGCCCAGTTGTTCTCTGTGACATATGGTGTGACGGATGCCTCTCTTTTTATAATAGTATAGATTTCTATACTATCATGGATATTAGTGGTCCTTTACGATGCACATAAGACTTCCCTTTCCTTACGGCGCTGATTCTGTAAGATATGGAGGGACTGATTCTATTAAAGGAAAAGGGCCTAAATTAAAATAAGAACAGGAGAAGACTACAGTGCAAGGAAAGAGAGGGGGAAAAAGATGAAGGGGACGATTACAGGTTTATGCTTGGTTTCACTCAAATGTTCCTACCTGGCTTACCTTCACAGTTCCTAATGTGACATTTGCTCACATCCAGAACCAAGAAAACATTAAACAGATGACCACGTACCAAAGAGATTTTGGGAAAGAATATTTCAATATCTTATCAATTTTAAATTCTCTGGATCCAGAACAAGTTAACAAGTACATTGAAAGAGCTCCAAAGCAAGGTAGTGTACTATGCTGACAATTTAATCCATCATGTGTAAATTACCATGCTGGTGAAACACATGCAGTGAAACTTTCTGAACACTGCACTCTTCACACTTGTTGGAAAGATAGAAAAATAGTCTCTCTCTTGCACAGTGAATGAACCCTAATCCTCTTGCCCTCACTACTGAAGGAATTACTAGAAAACAGAGAACTTCCCCTCCACTATGCAAAAATACGTCAGAGAGAATTATCTGTGTTCCTTTAAAAACAGTATATTAAAAGTGAAGTGGTAGTTGTATCCTCATTCAGAATTTGTAAATGAATTGTTTATATAAATTAGACTATCCCAATATTCATCTTTCCTGGAATTTACTGCAGTTGACAGCTTGAGATTCAACTTAACTCTTTTCTTTTTGAATTGTATCAACAGAGAAAGCAATTCTTCAGCACTTTCTTAACACAGTTTGTGGGAGTCAGAGTGAAAAATTCAGGACTTCGCCCTCAAAGAAACCAGAAGACAAACAATCTGAAGGCAACTGATACCCAACAATCCAAAAACAGAAAGACCTCCTATATCTGACTGGTTCTGAATGATTGGTGTAATTGTAACCCACAGTGTCTTTGTGTTCTGTGTGTGTGTGATAAATAATTTGCAAAACCCTGTTTTAAAATAATAAAAACTGTTGTGCTGCTACCTCATCAAATAGGGTGTTGCCTTTGAGAGCAATAGAATATTAAAATACTATATTTTTTTTATCTCTGTACTATAAATTCCAGCAAAACATCCTGCTTCAGAAGATCCTGTAAGTATGTTATCAGTCAAAGATGTCATGTATTTTAATTATGACTGCTGCTTTCTAAGGGCAAACAAAATAACATCTTCCTCTCCCAAATTCAATCCTCAATGCAACATTCAGCATTAGTGCTAAACTCCTGGGCTATGTCTACACTGCCCCCTCTTGCGCAAAAAATATGGAAACGAGGCAAAGTGTGGAATATCGCCACGCCTCATTTGCATAATTAATGAGGCTCTGTTTTTGCGCAAGAAGCTTTTGCGCAAGAGCCGTTCTTCCTGAAAAAAAAGAGAAAGAACAGCTCTTGTGTAAGAGGGGATTTTTGTGAAAAAAAGAGCCCTGTAGATGGCGCCTTTTTGCACAAAAGCCTATTGTGCAAAAATGGAGCCTCATTAATTCTGCAAATGAAGTGCAGCGATATTCCACGCTTTGCCTCATTTGCATATTTTTTGCGCAGGAGGAGGCAGTGTACGCATAGCCCTGATTTTTAAATATTTCCACTATGGCCAACTGCTGTCTCACATAAGCTGAGTGACATCCCACTACAGATAGACCAGGAGTCCAGTGCTGCAGGTTTTCAGTAGTCAGCCAGATTATTAGCCTTCTTTCAACTAAGCCAGACTTTGAGGGTCATGTCTACCCCCCTCATCCAAAGGCAGCAGATCCCTAAATTCCAGGCCTGCCATCTCTCCAGTCCATCAGCTGAGTGGGTTCTTGGAGCTTGAGCTGTTTAATTAAGGTATAGACACTTGGCTTTGGCACCTTCCCCTCCTTTCAGGGTCCTAGAGCCAAGGCACCAGCCCAAGCCTGAACATCCACACAGCAATTAAACAATCCCTTAGCCCGAGTTCCACAAGCCCAAATCAACTGGAAGAGGTGAGCTGCAAGTGTTGAATTGCAGTGTAGACATACCCTGAAAGGCAAATGGCCTCCAACCCCACCACAACTGAATAGTTGCCTGAGTGCCTACAGCTGACAAAGACCCTCCCAAGAATGCATCTTAATTCCATTAAGATTTGGATTAAGAAATGAATGTTAATTATTTTAGCTCATTGCTTCAACAACTGTTAACTTCTTCAATCTACTTTTACCATAGTAAGGCTTTTGATACCGTCTCACATGATTGTTTCATAAACAAACTATGGAAATACAACCTATATGGAGTTACTATAAGGTGGGTTCATAACTGGTTGGATAACCATTCCCAGAGAGTAGTTATCAGTAGTTCACAGTGTGATGGGTTTTTACGGGTGCGAGCACCTCGCTCCCCCCCCCCCAGCCGATCGCGGCCCTGTCCGGGGAGGGACGGGGCCCAGCGAACCCACCGTCTGTACTTGGCTCTTCGGCCTCCCCTGCCGGGGTCCTCGTAGTGGCTTCTGGTTGCGGGGGCAATCACCCCTCAGCCCCCAAGGGACTGAGGGGGCTCGGCGGCCCCTTCGTCAGCCTCTCCCCCTCTCTCGGTTTGGACGGGGAGAAGAGGGTTGTTGTGGAGGAAAGGGAGTGGGGGACCTGGGCCCTCCCTCCCCTCCGGGTCCCAGCCCGAGGCCCTAAGCGGAGGCCGGCGACCTGTAGTCGCCCTCCACGGCGGACGGGGCTGCGGCCCTCAACTCGTCCGCCCACGGGCGCCAAAAGGGTCCCGCCTCGGGCTCCTTCCACTCCCCCCTGCCTTCCTCAGCTGGAGGAACAAGGTTGGGATCACTCACCCCGCCAAAGGCGTCGAGCGCGTCCCAGGGCGAGCCGCCAGCTGCCGAGCCCGTCTCTCCGGGTTGCCCCAAGGGCTGGAGGGTTGGTGCTCCTGGACGCCAGGGTGCCTGCCGCTGCACTCTCCCCATTCTTGCCGGTTCGCTCCCGGCCTTTATGGTCCCCGAGGGATGACGTCGGGGCGGTAAGCTCCGCCCCCCCCGCGCCTGCCCCGGCGTACCCCCGGGTCCTCTGCTGGAGCGTCAGCCGGGGCGGCAGGGGCGGCCGCTTTCTGGCCGCTCATGTTCGGCCCCGCCTCCCGCTCCCGGCTCCGGCCGGCGCTGCGGGGCGTCCGGACCCCAGCGCCGCCGCGCCGGTGTGTTCGCCCATTGCGGCGTCCGCTTTTCCCGCTGCGGGGGGGGGGTTCCCCCGCGGGTTCGAGTGCGGACCCCACTGGGTCCGTCACACACAGCCATAGAGATCAGTTCTGAGTAGGGTTGCCAGGTGTCTGGTGTCCTACTAGACAGTCTGGGATTTGCACTCTCTGTCCAGTAAAAAAAAATCAGACAATACCGGACACATGCAGTGTCCAGTATTCTCTGATTTTTCCGGCTGGGCACCAGATGGAAGTCTGATGGGGGAGGGAGGAGTGGCGGGGACCCCCAGCCACTCCCCCTGCCCCCACCAGGCTTCTGACGCGACCAGAGGCTCCCAGCGGTGATCGCCGCCCCGCCTCCTAGCTGAAACTCCCAGGCTGGGAGGCGGGGCTGCGATCAGCGCTGGGAGCCTCTGGTCGCGTCAGAAGCCTGGCAGGGGTGGGTGGAGTAGCTGGGAGGCGGGGCTGCGATCAGCGCTGGGAGCCTCTGGTCGCGTCAGAAGCCTGGCAGGGGTGGGTGGAGTAGCTGGGAGGCGGGGCGCGATTGGGGGCTGGGAGTCTTCAGCTGGTTGTGTCTGGCCTAGGAGTGATGCCTTAGGTAGGAGAAGGAGAAGCCCTGTCCCTGAGTGCTGTTCAAGCACGGTGTGGAGCTGAAGTCCAGGACAGAAGTGTGGAGCCGTAGTCCAGGACAATCACAGGTGCTTTGTGGTTGTTTAGGCGCTTTCCATGGGCTCTCAGCCAAAACTGAGTGGGGTGGAATTCCCGCTTCTTCCCACTGGGACACCCAAAGACGTGGCTATGGGGAAGTCACCTGCCTACCCATGGTCGCTCCATAGGGTTGCCAGGTGTCCGATATTCACCCGGACAGTCCAGTATTTTTGCCTCCTGTCCGGTAAAATAATTCAGAGTATACTGGACACCTGAGATGTCCGGTATTTTCTGAATTTTTCCCTGGCCAGGAGGCGAAAATGCCGGGCACCTGGCAACCCTACAAACACTCAGAGCCCAGCCTCCCTGAGCCTTCCTCTGGCTCCAAACACCCCCAGCCCCCATGCTTATCTGGTTCCCCAAGGCTGCCAGCACAAAATGGCTGCCGGCCAAAAGATCTAGGGGAAGCAATGCTTCTCCTGGGCCTTAGTGCTCAACTTCTCCCCTGTTCCCATTCCTGCACTCTTAAAGGCGACATGCTGTTTTATTTTAATTTTTTTTTTGGCTTAATAAGTCCTTGGAGTCCTTTTTTGCTCAACAACTTTGGTCTCCCTCCTCCTTTCCCCCCCCCTTCAACAGAATTTTTTCCCAGTGTTTTTTTTTTTGCGGGGGAGGGGGGGTTCAGTATTTTTGTTTCAACCATCTGGCAACCCTGGTTCTGAGTATGGTTCTGCTCAATATCTTCATCAATGATTTAGATAATGGCATTGAAAATACACTTGTAAACTTTGTGAATGAGATCAAGCTGGGTGGGTTGCAAGTGCTTTGGAGGATAGGACTATAATTCAAAATGACCTGGACAAATGGAGAAATGGTCCAAAGTAAATAGGATGAAATTCAATAAGGACAAATGCAAAGTACTCCACTTAGGCAGGATCAATCAGTTGCACACATACAAAATGGGAAATGACTGCCTAGGAAAGAGTACTGCAGGAAGGGATCTGGGAGTCATAGTAGACCACAAGCTGAGTCATTAATGTAACACTTGCAAAAAAAGTGAACATCACTCTGTATTAGCAGGAGTGTTGTAAGCATTACAAGACAAGAAAAATAATTCTCTGCTCTATGTTGATTAGGCCTCATCTGGAGTATGTGTCTATTTCTGGGTGACACATTTCAGGAAAGATGTAGACAAATTCAGAGAATAGCAACAAAAATTATTAAAGGTCCCAGGACACATGAGCTAAGAGGGAAGACTGAAAAAACTGGTTTTGTTTAGTCTGGAAAAGAAAACACTGAAAGGGGACATGATAACAGTTTTCAGCAATATACAAGGCTTTTACAAGAAGGAGGTTAAGTTTAGGCCATTCGTGTGCATTTATGATTTTTTAGTTTGAAGTTATGAGTATTGGCTATGTACACAGGTCTAGTGAAGGGACCCACTAATTATGTGACTCTTCTGGCCTAACCTGGTCCATGAAGGCTGTACTGCTTTATATGGATAATAATGCTTCATGGAATCCTCCTTCCAGTCCTCACAACCATTGTGCAATTGTCTTACACAGAGCCACGATAAGGCAGGGACCAGATAATTACCAACAGATTAAGAAAATAAAGCTGCCTCCCTATTAATAGTTAAATAAGTGTAACTGCTAATACACTGAAATGTGCTTTTGAGGCAAACATCAAATCAGCAGTATTATCAGATACTTTACTTCCAAGAGTCTTATAAAGCTTGTAGTTAGAGTTATTGCTTGTGAAGGGGCTGCAAGATGTGGATGATCACAATAATATGGCTAAGGGAAAAATGTCTCATTCAGAAATGTAATATAATTTACACTGAAGTGATCATGTAACACCAGACTTGAGACAACGTCTCTCTCTCTCTCTCTCTCTCTCTCTCTCTCTCACACACACACACACACACACACACACACACACACACACACACACACACACACACACACACACACACACACACACCTGTGTCTGGTTGATATGTACTAACAGCAGACATGGTAAGTCTGCTTGATCCAGTATCAAGTTATGTATGCGGTTACGTAACTGAAAAAAAGAGGCTTTCTGTTTGCTGTATCCTAAACCTTGAAATGTATAAGAGGTTTGTGCTTGCTGAGACACTATTGTGTGTTTTCTTGTTGATAGTTTCGGAAAGAGTCATTTTTGTGCTCTCTTAAAGACTTTATATTTGTTTTCACTCTGTATTTTCCTAATCAGACAGTTTGCAAGACCGTCCCTACCAATATGCAAAATACACAGCTAAGTAGGGCACCACATTCTGTGGTGCTCCATACAGCTGTGTGCTATGTATGGGTTGGTGCTGGCTCTGATGGGTAGCACCATCACCAGCCAGTTCAATTGCCAATCTCATTTTAGGTGGTCTCCTATAATCTGTTCCAATCTGTATTTAGTTTAGGTAGTGTTTCCCAGATCTGAAGAAGAGCTCTGTACATTTTGAAATATTGTACTTTCTCCCAACAAATAAACATTACCTCATCATTGCTAATCTCCAATTAGTCCAAGTGGAAATAGGTCTCTTTCTGCAAAACACACTACAGTAGACTTCTGATAATCCGGAACATATGGGATTTAGGTGGTGCCGGATTATCAGATATGCCGGACTATCAGGAGGTACTATAAGCAGGTTATATATATATATACTGTATACATTATATACTGTATATAAAGTGTTCCTAACCCTTTTTATTGTACATACTGTATACAGTATACTGTAATGTTTTAGTTTTTTTAAGCCTTTTTTACCCTTTTTGCTCAGTTCAGCTGCTGCTGCTGTTACCTTGTGACTCTTTTTTTGCCGAAGCTCACTCACTAGGCTCTTGCCATTTTGATGCCGGACTATCAGGAGTGCTGGACTATTGGATGCCGGACTATTGGAGTTTTGCTGTAGCTTAAAACACTCTGCTCCTTGTTGTTCTTTTGAAACCTGGCAAAGAGAAATGAAAAGCAAATGTGCACCCCACCAGCTCTTTTCTGGGCTTCTCTTGCCCTAACGGCATGAGAAGAAACACAATTTACCCTTGTGTCAATCAAGGGCGGCATTTTGCTGCCTATCACTGACAGCTACAAAGGGTAAGAAAAAGTTGTTTATTACAGGAAGTGACTAAATGCTTCCAAGCAGGAGTTGCTTTGTGATGGGCATTTTCCATAAGCTGTTCAGACCAGGGCTCGCGGAGATATTGTACTTAATTGCCCACTATGGTGGCAACCCCTCTCCCTTTCAGCCAGGAGCCGGCACCGGGTAACTGCGCACTCCACGAGGTGCGCTGCAGACCACGCCGTGCCGGGGCCTCGTGCAGCCCTGGGGACAGCCAGTCCTGTGCAATCCCCGCCCTCACGTGCCGGGGCGGCGGAGCGAGGGCGGAGCAGTGCACAGAGCAACCCGACGCGCAAGGTCCGCAGCGCCTTCCCGACCTGTGCAGCGGGACGTGGGCTGCTGCTGCCGCCACTGAGCGTGCTTGGCTAGGGGGACCATGGCTGTGAGGAAGGCAGCGCGACCGCGCTCTGCCGCAGGAAAGCTAGAAACATCTCTCCGCGGTAGGACAGGATCTCCCTCCACCCTTACCCGCTTGCTCCAGCGACCCTCCCAGCCGGCAGGCTGCAGCAGAATTGTGGGGAGTCGCTGTTGTCAAGCAACTAACCAGCGCTGCGTTTTACGCGGGCCGAGAGCCAGGTGCTCCCCGCGCCCAGCCCAGCTTCCCCCACGCTGCAGCGTCTGAGGGGCATCGCGCCCCTGCACTCGGGAGGTGAACGCGCCCTGGCGCTGCAGCCTGGGGATTGGCTTCTCCCGCCCGGGAGCGCCTGCTGCTGCCATGGAGAAGTTTTGGTTGTAGGCGCGTAGAGAAAGCAGGATCCGCTCACTCGTGGCTAGGCACAGAGCGAGGGAGGAGACGAAGCACTGCAATAAACACTGGGGCATGGGGGGAAGCTTTAAGGTCTTTCTAACCCTTTCGTGGTCGTGCCCGTAGTCATTTCCCTTCCTTCTGCTGCTGCGATTGTTTGTCCCAGCGCCCTGTCGGATGCACCGGGCACAAGGTTCCATTGCTTGCTGTGGTCTTGAGTGTGCTTCAGGCTACAGTGATAGAAATGTAGCCGTGTTAGTCTGGGGTAGTTGAAGCAAAATGCAGGACAATGTAGCACTTTAAAGACTAACAAGATGGTTTATTAGATGATGAGCTTTCGTGGGCCAGACCCACTTCCTCAGATCAAATAGTGGAAGAAAGTAGTCACAACCATATATACCAAAGGATACAATTAAAAAAATGAACAAATATGAAAAGGACAAATCACATTGCAGAACAGAAGGGGGATGCGGGGGGGGGGGGGGAAGGGGGAGGAAGGAAGGTAAGTGTCTGTGAATTGCTGATATTAAAGGTAGGGAGAGTGGGATGTTTGTGAGTTAATGGTATTACAGGTGATAATTGGGGAAACTGTCTTGGTAATGGGTGAGAAAGTTCAAATTCTTCAGGCTACAGCTTGTGTGCAGGCCCCTTGTCTGTCCCGGGTGTTATGGCCAAGGGGTGACACGGGGCTCCCCACTGTGGTAGTTTATCATGGAGAACAAGGGAGTTATCTTTGGTTTTGGAAGTATCTGACACCTGTCCCCTTACTTGTTTGATATCCTAGCAGAATGTGTGGAATGACATCAAAGGCAGCTGTCAATGGAGGGAAACAAAGCATAAGACATCCCCAGAGAGAATATCTAACCTTTCTAGGAAATAGTGGTTCCAGCCAAGTTAGCAAGGTTTATTCTTCCCAGGTTTATTCTTCCCAGGATCAAAGGGGCATTAATCCACTAAAGACCTCAACCTAATGAGGAAGTGGTGTATTGTGCCTATACCTGGTACAGGTTGAGGTTGAGGGCTGCTACAAGCAGCTCAGGCTTCTGTACTGGATAGGGACTGGCTACTACAGAGCATCTTTTCCAGAAGAAACACTTGCAATGCATCTCTAAGATTCTTTAATGCACTGCCAGGAATGGCGGTGGTGAAGGTATGTCACTCACAGTGGCACCTAGTAACTGAACAATATAGTAGTTTTGCATGCTATTACAGGGTGGCAACAGTGGCAGGAGATACCTCTGATAGAGACACTAAGAAAACATTTCTGGGGCTATCCATCTTTCCCAGGCCAAGAGCAGGAGGACTGGGTGAATGGAACTTAACTCAAAACTTGGAAGGAAAGAACAAAGTTTAGGTGAGACCCAGACATGTAGGCTTTTTGCTCTGCATCCTGTGTACCAGATTTGGAGCTGTCATGTTATTCCATTTGATAAACAGGAGGCTGCAGCCCGGAGACACAGTCTAGGGATAGTAAGCCCATGTGGTCCTTTCCAGAAGGGGTGAGGATTGCAAAACCTGTCTGCAAAAAGGTCTATCACTCAAGACGTCTATCCTTAGCTTCCATGTTCCATATAGGAAACTCATTTGCCTTGAGCTAGAAAAATTGTTTGTGCTTTTCAGAGCTGCAGATGAGGCAGATTCAGCAAGCATACAAAGGGCCCAGTTCTGCTGTATTTACCATCATTAAAAGGAGCAGGAGCTGTAGAATTAGTCCCAGATTATGATCATATAGTACTGTATAATAATTTCAGAAATCTAAGGAAAATCAACAACCTCATTATTGCCTAATGCCTAAACTAGGTGGGCTGTGTCTAGACTGGCCAGTTTTTCCGGAAAATCAGCCGCTTTTCCGGAAAAACTTGCCAGCTGTCTACCCTGGCCGCTTGAATTTCCGCAAAAGCACTGACTTCCTACTGTAAGAAATCAGTGCTTCTTGCGGAAATACTATTCTGCCCTTTGCGCAAAAGGGCCAGTGTAGACAGCTCAGATTTGTTTTCCGCAAAAAAGCCCCGATCGCGAAAATGGCGATCGGGGCTTTTTTGTGGAAAAGGGTATCTAGATTGGCACGGACGCTTTTCTGCAAAAAGTGCTTTTGCGGAAAAGCGTCCATGCCAATCTAGACGCAGCCGGTGGTGTCCGGGGACAAGGTGTGATTATATCCCAAACTGATGGTGTGCTCTAGCTTCTCGCTACCATTATCCATTGCCTTTTCCCATTTGTCAGCAATCAGAAGTGGAAGTTTGGAATGGGTAGCAAAATCTCCCTAACTTACTTCTGTTTTAGTAGGTAGGATTATAGCCTAGGAGTCAAGCAACCTGTTTTCTGTTCCTGGATCTGCTACCAGTTTCGTGTGTGGAAGCAAGACATCTCTTTCTTTTTCAGTCTCATCTTTCCCCATCTCTAAGAGGAACAGTAAAGCTTATCCTATGTAAAATGACTTGAGATGTATAGATGAAAAATGCTACGTAAGAGCAAAGTATTATTCATTTGTGTACTCTGATGTTGCCCCATACATGAATCCTTTCTGGCGTTCGTTCTGACAGCATTCTGAATGAGCTAAGGGAGTCGAAATCTGAAAACAAAGCTTCATTTCAACATGCCCAGACTTCGCGAGGAGGCCACAGATTACAAGCTGCCTCTCCAGTTTCCTACAGCAGTCTTTTGGAAGAAGCAAAAGAAGAAAGCTCTTGGCTTCCAGAATGGCTAGTAAAAGAATTACTGAAAGAGCATCAGAAGAGTCACTCAGGAGGACTCATGGAGAATATATTGGAGCATGAAAGTTTTCAGCATCACACTGACTCTGCCAAGAGTCTGAGGAAAGAAAAGGTATTGTCAATGCTCTTGAGTTTGTCTCTCCTCTGGTATGCCTCCTTTGCGAATAGGATTTACCACACAGCTGAGGAGCCAGAAAGACAGAATCCTGGTTTTTCAGTGTGAATGTAATGATCTTAAGGAAAACTTAATTATGTACTGTGGGTAGAGTTTTTTAAAAGCCTGTTTAGGAACACGCTTGCCTTTAGATGCTGAGTTGTATGGCTAAATTATTGCACAATGAGAGGGATGCCAACTCATATGCAACCCAGCTGAAAATTTATCTGGCCATCTAAGCAATTGGAATATCAAAAGGCTCTCGATGCTGGCTCTGAAGTAGTCTCATCTGATGCAGAAACAGTTTTTTTTTTTTAAATTTGATGTGCAAAAAGTAACCATTCAGTTTTAAGGTGCAAGTTGCCCAATGTGGGGATTGCTACTCAGGTACCTGAATTCCCTACATGCACTCCTATAATAAAGGCCTGCAAGTCTCATAAGCGTGATTGAGTGAAGGTTTGGGAGGGTGATACCTCTAATACTCAGCTGCACCAAGCCTCCAGTGAGCTAGTCTAAAAAACAGTGTAGCAAGTTGGGGAGTGTGATGGATGGGAGGGGTGTTGTCCTTTTCTAAACATCCCACCATTCAGTAACTAAAGGGTAAACATAGATACTTAGAAAGTGTTGGCAGGGAGCCAGGATACCCAATGGGAAGAAAGTGTTGAGATTTGAATTGAAAGGGAATCTGCTTGCTGTTTTTCTTTATGTGATGTTAAATCAGGAGCTGGGGCGGGAGGGGGAGGATGAATTGAACCTGGCAGGGATACCATGCCTAAAAAAAGGAATACTTGGGCCTAGAATTGTACTGGACTTTGGAAGTATGGCTATGTGAGTAGACAGGCAATGTTTATTTAGACACGATCAGGTTATTTTCTTTGTTTTGTTGTTTGGTTAAAATTCTGTGCTGAGTCCATGTGCCCCCCCATACACTGTCCCTGGGATACAATTCTCTGTGTTTTAGTATGTTATTTTCTTAATTGCTTTAAAACACTTAGGAGTCAAGTATGTTTTACCAAGTATATCTTTGTGTTTTGTTAATAAAATAACCTTTTTTAAGGCTGTGATCTGATTCTTGTGTCCTTGAAGATAATAGGAGGTCTGTGTATATTTGTCTAAGAGTGAACTGTTAGCTATCAGAGATTACCATTTGTTTTTTCAAGCTCTTTTGTGATAAAAGAGCTTGGGGTACCTCTCTGGAAGAAGGTCCCAAGTGATTTCTTCCTGGATTCAGGCACTTGGGTAGTGGCAGCAACCTTTCCAAGGTCAGGTTATCTGTGACATTGGGGAGTTTTTAAGCAGAAACCTATAGAAGCAAGTTATTTTTCAGGTCTTTTGCGGACCGCCACCTTCTGCATTTGAAGTTCCAGAGTGGGGAATAGCATTGACAGGGTGGAATATCAATTGCTAGAAGTTGTGCTGAGTAAGGGTTTGTCTACACTTGAAACACTAGAGGACAGAACTGTGTCATTTCAGTGTGGATGCTGCCTATGCTGACAGGAGAGGTTCTCCTATCAACATAAATAGCCCATCTCCTGGAGAGGTGGTAACAAAGCTGATGGGAGAATTCTTTCATCAATCTAGCGCTGTCTGTACAAGGACTGAGATTGACTTACCTATGCCATTCAAAGGTGTGGATTTTTCACACTCCTGAGTGAGGCAGTTATGTGGATGTAACTTTCCGGTGCAGACCAGGACTAAGGACTGCAGAATTTAGTTCGACAAAGAAAAGTAGGGCAAATGTCACATTCTGGGGTGCTATCCAGACTGATGAAGAGCTGTCACCTTAAAACAGTGGTCACCAACCAGTAGATCAGGATCTACTGGTAGATCTTGGAGCCTCTGACAGGTGATTCTGACTGGTTTGGCCAAGAGGCTATCAAGTGCCTGAACTTCAGCTGTCTCTCTCCTCACTGCTGCGCAGCACCTGACCTTTGCTTTGCAGCTGCACCTCCCCTCCCCGGCTTGCTGGGCAGGTAAGGAAAAGGAGGGGGCACTGATGTCTGGGTGCCCTCTCTCCCAACCTTGTTACCATCTCTCCCTGTAGTCTATCTACACAGAATGAAGGGGGGCACAACAGGGCTTGGGATGGAGTTTGCAGGCTGCTTTTGAGAGTGGGGCAGGGCCAGGGTAGGGGTGAGCCTGCCTTAGCCCTACTGCACCACCACCCAGGAGCCACCTGTGGTAAGCATTGTCCAGCTGTAGCCTGTATCCTGAATCCCTGTCCTAATCATAAACCCCCTCCTGCAGCCCAAGCTCCTGCCTCAGGCTTAGCTCAGAGCAACTCCAAATCCCTTATCCCAAGACCAGAGCCTGCACCCCAACCCTCTGCCCCTGCCTGATGAAAGGGAGGAAGGATAGGGGAGGATGGAGTGAGCTGGGGCAGGGCCTCGGAGAAGGGGCAGGAGAAGGGTCTGAGGTAGATCTGGATTGCAATTACATTCAAAAAATGATTTTGTGTTTAAAAAGGTTGGAGATCACTGCCTTAAAACTTCCCTATTGGAGCTCTCTGCCTGGGACGCCCACGGTCAGCAGCAAGCATGCATTTTATGTCTATGTATTGGACAGCTCTTGTCCAACATTTTGGATTCAGGAGCCTGCCTGAAATACCACAGACTTCTACTGGTCTTCACCAGCCTTGGTTAACAACATGTAAGGTGATGACATGCTCTTCCCAGCCCCATATTTCCCCCCAAATATGTGTTCAAAATGTCCAGCTCTGTCCTGGGACAATCAGGAATGTTACAGTTCATTGCTCCTTTAAAGAATCACTATCTAGCAGTTTATTTTAACTGGAGTTACCAAACAGTTCAGTTCAAACATAGCACTGGATTGGTTTTGATTAAAAATAAAACAAGTGTATTTAATTCCAAACAGAGAGGTTTTAAATGAGTACATGTATAAGGATTAAAGTCAAATATGGTTACAAGAGAAATAAAACTCAAATGTTTCCTAGTAATTAGAACTTAACAGTCTAGACTTGGTTCAAGATAAAATTCTTACCATATTTCCATCAAGATGCCTGATCAAACTCATGAGTCATGATCTATTCCTCATATTCAAAGGGCTGGTACCTTTATCGTCGTAGGTACAAGATAGATAACTTAGGTTTCTGTGCCCCTCTCTTTTCTAGTCCAATGACTCTTTGAAATGAATTCTTCTGAAGCATATCTCCAGAGAAGTCTATTTCTAGCTGGGAAGTAGGTGAAGTGGAGTTTGTCTTGAGGGAAGTGATCAGCTGTATTTTCTCCCACTGGGATTGGTTGCTAAAATGCAAATTACTTATTTTTGCCCCCTCCATGCACCTGAATGACATTAAACACGTGATAGTCAATCTTTTCCCCACTGTGATAGTGCAAGGTTTGCTTTCACAAGTTGTTAGCTTGATAGGGCTGCTTATGTAAATGTAAATACATTCATATTGTCTATCAAAGTATTTTGGAAGTAACTGCCTAGTGGGGAAACCACATTCCTTCATCCAGGGTGAGAGAACTCTTCTTTAGCTGGAAGAACACATTTTAAGAATTATAATTTCTGTTTATGTCCATAACTTGGCATCAGTTCTTTGTATCTATATTGTGCAATGGAGATAAGCAGAACACTTCAATAGTCTATTTTATAGACCATCCACACTCGATAGGTGTGCCCTTGATAATATACCTGCGAAACTCATCAAAAAAGATCTTGACTTCCTTCCATTAGTTGAGGAAGTTAGGAAAGCCATCAAACTACTGAACTATTGTAAAGCATCTGGAAAGGTTGATTTCCCAGCAGAACTGTATAAAGTAGCAGGTCCAAAAGCTAATGAAGTGTTTCATGATATCTTAAGTATTTGGAAGGAAGACAAAATGCCACAACACTTCAAAGATGCTATTATTGTGTGTCTGTTCAAAAACAAAGGAGCAAATTTGAGTGTGGAAAAAACAGAAGCATTGCTCTTCTATGTACAGAAGGGAAAATTCTAGCTCTCATTCTACTGAACAGATTGATTGTAAACATATATGAGAAAAATCACATATGAAATGCATTGTAGTTTCAGACCAAGTCATATGGACATGATCTTTGTTGTAAGACAGGTCCAGAAAAACATTTAGAACAGAACATGACCTTTATGCAGTTTTCATTGATTTGACTGAAACTATGTAAACTAAACTACTCAAGGAGGTTCATACAAATCATCTGTTTGTTCATGAGCATATGGCAGGCAGTACAAGTGCTCATCAGCAGTAACTTTTGTGATGCATTCAAAATTTTGAATGAGTGAAGCAAGCCTGCGTTCTTGCTCCAGGCAGTTCAGCTTGTTCTTTTCCTGTTTCCTCAACCATGCTACAAGTGATTTGGATGAGGGGATATACATCTGCTATCGAATTGATGGCTCCCTCTTTGATCTTTGAAGACTCATTACTAAGACCGAGACACTGGAGAGACTTCTTATTGAGGTACTTTTTGCAAATGACTATGCCTTGATGGCCTGTGGACATGGCAACCTTCAGGTCATCGTTTATACGTCTTCTGCATCATCCCAGCTCTTTGGAATTACCATCAGTTTTGGGAAGACAGAGGTCTTGTTCCAATCAGCACCTTATTCCAGTACCCCAGAGTCATTCATCTTCATCCAAGGCAAGCAGTGGAAAATGTGGCTCATTTCAAGTATCTGGGCAGCACCGTGTTGAATGATAGTTCTCTTGAAAAGGTAATTGCCTCCAGAATCAGTAAAGCCAGAGGGACTCTTAGCCGACTGAACAAAAGTAATTAACCAGCACAACATTTGTGTCTCCACCAAATTGAAGATCTACAGCGAAGTGTTTCTGACATGTCACCTGCATGGATCTGAGACAGGAACTCTTTGTAGTCAACATATTAAACTGCTTGAACAATTTCACATGTGCTTCCCCCACTTAATAATGGGCATTTGCTGGCAGGACAGAGGGTATGTCTACACTACCCTCCTAATTCAAACT